TGAGCCGGACTGCTTTGGCCTTGTTGAAAAATTCCATGAGATGAGAGCTGTTCTTTTCTTTTTGTCCGTTTGGTCTAATAAAGGTTTTGTTTGGATGGCACTATATGTTGGGTTTGAGTGTTTGATGAGATGGTGAGGAAGTTTCGTAGGATGCGAACTGTAATTTTTTGAACACTGAATTGGTATCACGGTTTGATTGAATAAGTAAGTTTAATGCAAGCTGACGATGACTTTTGCAATATCTATTGAATGTTATGCGGGTCGGGGGCGAATTTACATATCAACCCACAACAAACAATATATTAAATAAGTCAGCTTTATAATTCAACGCGTGAGGGGACGCATCCCCTTTCTTCTCTCCTCAATAGCAAAAAAGCCGTTAGAGCATCTCCAACCCACCCTTCATACAAGCAGGAAACGGGTGGGTTGGAGGAAAATCATCTCCAATCGTCCCTGTACCTTTGGCGGAAACGGCAGAACTGATTTTGTGGAACGGTTGCCACACCGTTCCACTGTTCACAAACGCTAGGTTTTTTTTTTTTTTTTTTTTAAAATGAATTTGGATTTTTATTTTGGGCCTATGTTATGAACTTAGATTTTTCTTAATCTTTGTTTTCATTTTTCTGTATTTTTGGTAGATAGATGAGAGTGATTGGAGCTGTGGGGGGAGATATATACAGAGAGATACAAAAATTGGGGAAGAGAGGTGAGACACGGGTGGAATATAGGAGAGAGAAAGGAGAGTTGAGGGAGAAAATAGATTTAATGTATTTTAATATAATTATAGTATGGTAAATTAATAATTGTAATATGGTATAATTATAATTAATATGGTAAATTTTAATTAATAAGGTAAATGGTATAATTTTAATTAATTTAATTAAATCCATGTGGTTTTAATATTTTGTAATTTAATTAGCATTTTAATTAGTATTTTCACTCACTTAAATAAATATTACAAACAAACAAATTAAAATTATAAAATAAGGATACTTTTATTAATTAATATGATATAATATTAATTAGTATTTAAATTCACTTAAATAAATATTTCAAACAAACAAGTTAAAATTACAAAATAAGGATAAACATTCAATACACTTAAAATTAAAGTACAAACACTAAAATTAAAATCACAACATAAAAATAAACTTAAAAACTCATCTTAAAAGCTCACACATACTATAACAACAATAATTAATACGAAACATAAAAATAAAAATTAAAAAAGGATTATCAAATAGACGATTTCATAGACTTAATTGTCACCATAATAATCATTCAAATTTCCTCCGTC